AAGATAAGGATCCCTTAGCTTACCTTATCTCAATCTTGAATTTACATCCAGATATTAAAAAAGAATCGTTAGAAATACTAGATAAGATTATCAAAGGTGAAGAAATTACAAAAGAGGAAATTGAAAAAATTGAAACGATCAAAACAAATATTCCATTCACGCCACCTATCATTAAACCTTCAGACGATTCCAAAAAGGATTTGAGTGAAACTGAGAATAATCTATAAAAGGATATTGAATCAATAAAAAAGAAAATAAAAGATCTCGAAAAAGAAAAATCAAAAGCAAAAAGCATTTCTGAAATCATCGATTTAATCGAAAAATTAGCAAAAGAACGATTACTTGCGGATGATAAAGAACAAACCCTAAAAGACATAAAATGGTTAAAGAAACAATTATTCCTCGTAACGGTCACCAAGGATGAGGAAAATGAGATAATTAAGAAATTCGCGTTGGAAAGTCGTAGTAAAGAACATGTAGATTATTTCAAAGAATTGCTTGAAGAACATTACAGCAACGAAGCGGTTGAAAATCTATTAAACGATTTCAAAAAAAATCAAGCAATTCCTGCATTAAATCATGAAAGTTCTTTACATTACAAAACCATCAATGAATTAAAAAAGGAAGCTAAGAAAAAAGAAATCACCGATGATGAAAAAGAAAAAGTTAAAACATTAACAGAAAAATATAACGGGAAAATAAATAATATAAAGATCGAGAAAAGCATACTAGAAGGTAAACCTATTGAACCGGATGAACTTGAACCTCTGAAATTCGAAGGTTTAACTGACAAAGAACAAAAAAGATTACAAGAAATTGATCAAATAATCAGGATATCGAAATCGGTGAAAGAATTGGAAGATAAGGAAAAACTTGATTTGGAAATTGATATGATCTGTAACAAATACCCAGAAATTAGAAAAGATTATGATAAGCATCGAAGAGAAAGAAGAGATTATGTTAAGATATACGATCAGATATTAAAAGAAATAAATGATAAAAATGTAAAGATTGAAGATTTGAAACATGATGAGGGTGCTATTTCGAAAAAGATTATCAATCAATTAAAAGATAAACCTTTGGCAAAAGATTTGTTTGACGAATTGCACAAAAAATGTAATGAAAAATACACAGAATTAATCGCAAATAACGCAGAAGAATTAGCAAAAGAATTAAAAATACAAATCAATGAAGAGAAAAGCTCAAAAAATCTTGAGAATATCAAGAAAAATATTGATAAATTAAAAGAAACTAATGCTAAACTAGGTGAGAATGTCGAATCATTACTAGAACAAAGATTAACACGAATCAAAGCATATAAAAAATATTAACAAAGAATTAGATGTTGAAAAATTAAATGATAAGAAAGAAATCGATAAAGAAATTCAAAAATTAAAACAAGATGATGCTGAATATCCAAACAATCTCATTACTGAACTGACAAAACAACGAAATATCAAGAAAGAAAAAGTCATTAAAACAAATAAATACAACGAATATGAAGAAATCATCAATACTCCATTTGACCATCCTCAAACTTTGATAGACGCATTAGATTTGGATAAGATTAAACAACTTAATAATGATAAATTGTTAGATAATAAACAAAAAATTAATTTGGAAAATTCATACAGAAAAAAACTTACTAAATTAAACACAAAGGTCGTTCAAGAAGAAAAAGAAAAATATAACAAGATTGAAAAAATGATCAAAGAATGTGAAGACCCTGTTCTGCTTAATTCGGAAATGTTTAATGAAATTTACAGGTTGATTGAAAGCATCGATGAAAAGATCATTGGGTATGGAAGTAAAGATAAATTAAACTATATAAGAGAAACCAAAAGAAAAGAATTGGTAAAAAAACTCAACCAAGAATTGTAATAATGTCTATACAAAAACAAACATGGGAAACCTTCTTTACAGAAAATAACATATCAGATGAAAATTTAAAGACTGCGTGGAAATACAAATCAGGGTTATCGATTGATAAAGCAAAAGCATGTGTAAAAAATAGTTGGATCATCAACAATGAGATAAAAATTGTTAACAAAAAACTTAATTATAGAAAATTTCCAAATATAGATGTTGTAAAGATAAATAAAAAAATTTTTTATAAAGCACGTGATATATGTGATGAAATTTTAGATCCTAATAAAAAAACATTTATCTCCTTATCTAAAAACTTTAAAAAAGAAAATATTGAAAAATTAGATAATAATTTACTACTGGCCGGATTAAAAACCAATAATCTTTTTAAAGCCATTGAAGCAAAATATTCTTTTTTTTATTATGTTTTAAATAATCAAACCAATGAATTTAAAAATAATAGTTTATCCCAAGAAGAAATAGATATGTGTGTTAAATCAATCAAAGAAAAAAACGATTGGGTATTCAACAGTTGGAATAAAAAATGCACCGCTGAATTTCTTAACAAATTTTTAAGCAATTTTTTAAAATGTCCAGGTGATAAAAATCTGGTCGAAAAAAATCTTAAAAAATAGTTAACGGGTGAAGAAATCGACCCTTCATCAAACGTCACAAAACCATTAAAAGATTACACAATAGATACAAAACCTAGCATCAAATTTAAAGTTGCAAAGATCGTTAAAAAAGAACCTGATAAAACTCTAGGTGATTTTTTGAAAAAAAGATTGTTAAGAATATTATCAGAAGAAAATGCTGAGAAAATAAAAACCAAATATAACAAAAAATACGTTGAATCGAGAGAAAAATTTGATATACTACCCGATGATTGGTTAACTGAACAACTTACCAACATCAATGAATTAAATTATTCAAAAGAAGAGTACAATGATAAAAACGAATTTATCGATCATTTTGTTAGATACGAATTCAATGAAAATCATGATGATACTTTTAAAAGTATTCTAGCAAAAAACTATAGCTTTACAGGAGAAAGAGATGATGAAAAAATAAGCGGTCAAGAAATTGAAAAGGAAGAATTGAATTTAGGAAGAAACATGTCAGCTGCTTATAAATTACCATATATATTTTCATTAATAGATTTTGATCCAGAACTATTACTAAAAAAAGAAGAAAATTTTTCTTGGTTAAAACATTATTATTCTGAACTTAAAGATGAACATGTAAAAAACCTAAACGAATTGTTTAAAACTGATTTCTTTAAGATTGAAAATGATGTTTTTGTCAATCCCGATCCCATGGAATAGTTAAAAATAGAATTGAATAAATATATCAAGGTAGAATTCATGGACAAACAAGTAACCAAGGCACCTAAACCCAATGATAAAAATAAGGAACAAATTAATAAACAAATAGAAAAAGAAAAAGAAATTGTCAAAAAAACAAAGGAAATTAGAAAAAAATTTGGTAGAATATATAATCTGAGTCGATTTGCCAAAAATAAAGCAGAAACCGTAAAAAGAACAATCAAAGATCCAAAAGATCCAAAGAAAAAAATAACTGTAGAAGAAACTAATTATGTTGTTAATAATGATAGTTTGGGTGTATTACCAATCCCTACCGGATTAGAAAAAACCACAAAACTAGTAAAATGTTTACTGTCATGCATCTTTAAAGGTAAACACATCATTCTCCTAACCCCAAATAATTCATTAAAAAAGATGCATATGTGCATCATGATCCAGTAAATGATGGTTAACAAGACCGGATTACAAATGTATTATACATGGAAAAGAAGGACATCCTTATTTCACCGTAAAAGGAGATCTTGCATCCTGAATCGATGGAAATAATAACGAAAAAAAATGTTTACCTGAAGCAGAAGGCAAATCAACATTGTCAATATTAGAATTACACGAATTAATCAGATACATCGCATGTAAAAAGGTAAAAATGCAAGAATACAGCAAAGAAGAAACCCAGAAACTTAAAGATCTACCAGAAAATTATTGGGATGACTATGAATTTGATCAAATAAAAGAAAAACTCATCGATAAAGAAAACACCGTGATAATCATTGATGAAGCACATGATAAGAGTGTTAAAAACACCGCATACCAACACGTTCCTCCATTATTGATAAGAATGGACTATAAAGTATTGTTAATGAGCGCAACGTTTGAAGGAAAAGATTTTTCTATCTCCACGACAAAACCAAGAAAAGTAATGTCTTTAACTAAATTTGGTAATCAGGTCAAATGGGAAGAAGAAAAACATCTTATTTATTTTGCAACTACAAAAGATATTTATGGAAGAACCATGACTGGTGAAATAGATTACAATAACAAGATATTAATTTCCGGGTTAAAACCTGAAAAAAGAAAAATGTTAGAAGAAAGTGGTATTCCTTTTGTAGTGTTTGATTATACTAATTCTGACACAGTAAGTTCAATCACACAAAACATGCTGACAGGATCAATATTCTTATTTAACACTGATTATAAAATGGGAATTTTGCCTTGGGCAAGAGTTTTAATTTTGACCGGTGAGACACTTGAAGAACCACTTGGTCGTGGTCCGAGTAATGCGAAAAAATGAAGAAGAGCTGATTTTGTAATAAGATATTCATCATTGGGTAGCATGATACAAAGAATCGGAAGAGTTAGAAGAATGTTACCTGGATAGGCTTTTTTACTTACCTTAAAACTGGAAGAAACGAAACCATCAAAATATGTTATCTACTATTTGATTAATGGAGTAATAGCACCTGCCAGTGAAAACCCCATAGAATATCTAGCAAAGAATAATTATAAACTAACAAAAAAATCAGATGATTACACATATCAAAATTTCTTGAGATTGGCAGTTGCTTTACCAAAAAAACGAGAATTACTAATTGAAGTTGTCATCATTGGAACGACCAAAGATGCAAGTGGAAAATATCATATTTTTAACATGAAACCTGATCCAAAAAAAGACACTGGATTAATAAGAGAAGAAGATTTAGTTTATTGGCACGAAAACGAATTGCCTCAACCTCCAACAATTGACAAAGAAAATCAAAAAAATATTCATTTGATCATACTAGAAAATCAATTAAGTTCATTGGATCTGACAAAACAGAAAAAAGTAGAAATTAAAATCGAGAACACTCTTATTGATAAAATTTGGGATTTCTCTTCTTCAAAAAGAAATGAGAAAGGAGAATTAATTCATGAAGAAATATCTCCTGATAAAGTTGAATTGATAAAGAATGATATTTGGAGCGTGATCAAAAAGGTTTGGCAGAAAAAAATAAATGAAGAAAAAATTAAATTTAAAAAATCTGATCATAATTTATTCAAAGAATACGTTGGTTGGTATAAATTTGTAAATAATTTGATGATTAACGTCGAAAGAAAAAAAAATAATAAAGGTGAATTTAAAGAAGAATGTGTTATCGAAATTAATTACAAATATAAAGATTTAAAACAGATAAGAAAAGAAGATGTTATAAATTATTCATTAATCAAATCCATACCAGAAACCGAATATGAAATTTGTAATAAATGTAATTCTTTTATCTTGGAATTATTTGAAATATTATGTCTTAGACATGATCCTTTATACATATGTAAATACTGTTTAAATATTTACCCACGTATAAAATACACCGAAGGAATCGGGTATCATGAAATTGGTTACATTTAAATAAAAAAAATGTTGCTTTTATTATTTATTATAATATCGATGTTTACAAATGTTTATACAGAATTTACTTGTATTAGTGTTGACAACAACAGAAACACATTTGTAATATATGATTGTTTACGTGTAGAAATTACCAAAAAAATTATATCATCCCTCGGAATTATTACCTAGTTCGGAATTTAAATTTTATATCACAACTAGTTAAACAGGGATTGGATATGGAATTAAATCTGATCATTCCAAAAAAAGAAATAGATACGGAATTTTACGAAACCTTAAAAACAAGAATTGCTAATGAAATGGAAATTGATAAATTAAATAACGAATATAGCAAAGAAATCGAAGAAAGAAAATCTAATCTTGAAGATCACATGTACCACGAATTACATCATTTAAGAAAAAAACGAATAGAAATACTCAAGATATTTTATATGTTCAAAGAAAAAATACTAAAAACTAAATTATTTGAAGATTTAGAGAAAGACAGTGAAATATTCAACCTGATTACAAACACAGAATTAAAAGATAACATGCTGAAAAATGAAATTGAGAATTTGAGAATAGGAAAAATTAACGAGCTTAAAATGGAAAAAGAAGCATATTTTATATGTGAAATAAATAATAGTAAAAATGTTTAAGATTTAGATGATGATGAGGAAGCAAGGTTCAATAAAGAAATTTCCGAATGTGATGTATTTACCAAAGAATTAAAGCAAAAGTATAATAAAATGAGAGAAGATCGTTATTTTTTAGTATTAAA